CTCCTCTCTTCTCACCTTCTTCAGTGTGTTATTGTGTACTCGCTCACACCCTTTTTCCAGATTCAGCAGTTAAATATGTTTGTGTAGCGAGGTGGAGGGACGTTCATAACCATAAAGCTGTCTACGGCAGACACGTTTTAATCACTTCTTTCTCCTTATGTTGTCTTCTCCCACATTCTCAGCTTCTTTTCAGCAAAGGTGCAACATGCAGTATGTGTGTATATATTTTCATGTATTCAGGAGGATAAACGATGCTCCAGCTTCACCAAATTGTTCTTGTAATGTCTTCGGCTATTCCGGCTGTGTGCACACAGGAAAATAAAGGCAAAGACAGTCATTTCCTCCTCTTACCTGAGAGAAGTTGAGTCCATTGAGGGGATGACACTGCTCCTCCACTTGCTCAACTGCCCCTGTAGTCTTTCCCATTCGCTCTGCCTCTTGAGCTAGAAACAGATCAAGCACTGGTGTCCCCCGGGACCGGACGTCCCATTCTGTGAGTGAGTTTACCATCAGCATTACCCACACAGGCCTCTTCCTCTCCCAGTTCCCTGCAATAGCATTGAACAGGTAGTCGGCATACAGGCCTCGGCCTCGCTGGTCAGCTGTCATCCAATAAGGCATCATGTGTTTGACGTAATCAAGATGGCGTTTGAGTCGGCGGTACAGATCTCGAGGTAGCAGGGTCTGCAGGTTTTCTCCGTGGGGCAGTAACTGGCAGCTGGTCAGTTTGGAGATGGTCAGGGGATCAGTCAGGTCCAGCTCAAAGTAAACGTTATTGCTGTCGTGGAAAGCCTGCTTGGAGCTGTTGGGAATGAAGTCCCAGACTCGGGTGTAGGGCACGTGGATGGTACCAAATAAGTAAGAAGGTGGGTGAGGAGGTGCCCGCTTTACTCTCCAAAGGAAAGAGTTCATGTCGCTTTGCTATAGAAAACACACAAAAAAGAAGAAGAGGAAAAAGATTTTAACAGTAAACAGAAACAAAAACCATCATGTTAGAGCTCGCGTTAAAACTGAAAGTGACAGATTTTTCCTCTGTTGTGGTTTACTGGCTCGTGGGCTCAGGTCAACAAGTTAAAATTTGAAATACTATTTTAAAATTACACCGCAGGAAGTATGAAGTCTAGTCAGCCTGGGGGCTGTGCTGCGAGCACTTGCAGTCAGGGAGTTTATAGAGGGGCCTTCTGGGCTGTAAACAGACCCCCGTGTATTGTTGAGGTGCATACCTCGGTTGCCAAAGCCTCTTTCGGCCTGGGAAGCATTTTCAGGGCTGTGGTGCAAATATACTACACTGGAGCTCATAAAAGCCATGAAAGAAACCTGCACTCAATTCTGACCTCACTGTGATACTTATATTTGGGATTTTACTTTCTTTTTTTTTGACATCGGGCATGAGGACGAAATGCTGACAGTCTCAAGTACAGCACTGATTTTGTCTTCAAGGTTTGTGTTACAGCTTTTTACTGTTGTGGTTGTCTTTGATAGAAAGAAATGTCAAAATTGAAATTAAATAATCACAGTCGTTCTAAATGAATATAAGGCTCTACTGCATTTAAAACGTGTTTCTTATTAGCTGCTCTGCAAATGTGCTTTGCATGTGCTATGACTTTGATGTTGGCTTTATTTAAATATGACAAAAAATTGCCTTTATAAACAATATCAAACTCCTGGCCTCTGAGACACAGTGCAATCAGGCATTTGAGGGATGAAACCCATTACTGTAAAATAAAGTTATTCTTAGAAAATGTTTATTTCTAAAATTTAATCAAGATTTTCTTCAGCTGTGCTCCGCTGCATACTGCCAACGCTGCTTTTGTCATTTCAACTTTTGCTCTTGTGGTATGTTTCTATAATCATCATAATTAATTGCAATTTACATACCGTAATTACTGGCACCAACTTGTGCTAGACAAAATAAATCAAAATGACCATATTTTGATTTCAGAACAAAATGACGTTTGTTTCTGTGTTTCTAACCTCATTTTCACTCTGGCCAAGGCCACTCGACTGCGAAGAGTAACGGGAAAGGTTTGGAAGGGATTAATATCATATTTTGGAAGGGCGGAAACCAATAAAGCATTTGCACGTCCACCGTTAACGACGTGTACTTGGGCCTAACCGTAAACGAAGACGTTTTGACGTGGAAAGTGAGACGGTGTTCGTGTAAGACCTGAAAAGAGGCGAGAGCCTCTCTACTAAGGCAGCTTTGACTTTTCTGGCGAGCTTTGACGCACGGAGTTTCTTTTTATGGGGGTAATTACTCTTAACAGAAAACAGAGACCACTGTACTGATGCATTAGAAATCACATGGAGCAAGCCTTCAGCCATATCTGACAACAGTACTATTATAGGACAACCTAATACAACAAAGTCTGTGAGCTGTAAACGACTCCTTAATCATATCTTCAGCAACAACTTGCACGCTCAAGCGCCAAGCGTTTTGTTTTTGTTTTGTTTTGGACCGTTTCTGGGCTCTTGGGCAGTTTTCATGTGCTGTATTTTTTTGTGTTGGATATGATTCTTGAAGTCACGATGGCCATTAACTTTCCCTCTGCTCTTTATGTCGAAAATGCAAGAAGTGGAAGTCAGACAGCCGGCTGGGCAAGCACATTAACCGAGCTGGAATATGTCCGGGCTGCACTCCGGCACTTCCTCACGGTCTGCGAGTTCAAGCCACGTCCATAATTTTACCAATATGCCCGATAAGTGTTTTAATACGCCGCCACAGTACTGAAACACGATCACTTCTGAAAGGTCAATGAAACTTTCCCAAATGAAGTAAGTCACCCGTGGGTGTTCCCACTTGCGTTTGTCACATAAACAGCCATAAAGTTGGCAAACGGTAACAGTTTCTCTTGGCAGTCTCCTTCATGTT